TACTACTTCCACCGTGTTTACTATTAACCTTTGCCCGGACCTTTGCATGTTTGTGCTCTCAGATGAAGCAGACTTGAAGTTTTCTTCCCACCTTTCTGCAGCAGGCCCAGCTGACACCTGTTAACCTTCTATTGGCCTACCAGTGTCTTAGGAACACAGTCTAGGCAAAAAGAAGACATCTTACGCTGCTACTTTCATCCTATTTTCCTGTGTCATTTTCAGAAAGTTGGGAAAAAAAAAAAAAAACTGTCAAAGGTGAGATGTGGGATTTCACTGATTGGCCTAGTGGCAATTGTAGGAGGAGAGTGCTTATAGACGAAGACCCTCCTTTGGCATCAGTGCTATCTTGCTTTCAACTCTCTGTGAACGGTAGAAACAGAGTACAGAGAACTGCCGAGTTACAGAATCCAACCTACTGAGGCAGCGCTTCTCTCTCTGCTTTCATTCCAAACAGTTTTCTAATACAAAAAAGTAGCTTACTGTAAAACTTTGTCTTCTCTAGGATGAGATGAGGAAATAGTAAGCTAGAAAAAACAAGTACAAGTAGCATATTAATAGTTAGTTATTCTTCCTATCCCTTTCATACTTTTCTTCCACTTTTGTTACTGTGATGCAGTTATTAGTGTTTGAAGTGCTGCAGCCAGTGATTGGTAAATGTGACTAATTTAGTCCAGTTCTGAGTTTCACGAAAGGTATTCTGGGGCAGCACCACAAAGAAGGTGTTGAGATTACATTTTCTTAGGCTGTGGAATGAGACTACATAACGCTCATAATCAGGATATTTGAAAACAAAACATAAATGGTATTTGGATAACCAGCTTATGGCTGGGAAAGTAGTCAGACATGTAACTCTTCCTCTTTGGCCCTGGAAATTCCCTTAAGCAAATATCCTACTGCTTGGTAAAAATGCACAGATCAAAAACTGCTTAAGGGGACAGCAGTTGTAGCTGCATGTGCGAGTACATTGTCTGCTGTAGAGGCTTTGCTGATTCCTAACAGACAGTGTAGACCCTAAGGGCAAATGAAAAGCAAAAGTTTGGAGAAATGATTTTCTGTTATTTCTTAATTCTTTTTCACCTCATTTTCCCTCCTCTGGTAACACTTTTAAAAGGAATCATGACTACTTCAGATTTTCTTTTCTTCCTTTCCCAACTCCCCAGACAGCTGCAAATCTTCATAGTTTGACAAGGAATATTTCTTAATTTTACTTTTCTTTTGAAGTTTGTAAATTTTTCCCTATAGTCTCAGAAGACTGTTGGTCTCTGTGGGCTTGAAATTGGTATTGGTTGCATCTGGCTTATGGACTAATTTCCCCATAATTGACTCATATGAAAAATTAAAAATGCAACTATATCTCTTGAGGGGCAAAAACAAAATTTTAGCTGGAAAAGAATCTATCATGTTAGTGACTGGATTTGTTTTTGAAAATGTTCAGAGCATTAATTTAAGTAAGAAAAAACAGTGAGGTATTGACTTTTTTAATTTAAATGAGATCTTCTTTTAATAAGAAGTTATAGTCATTCCTAAATTCAGTGTTTTAAATGACAAGAGAGAGGAAGGATTTTTTACATATAGGTATATAGATATCTATAAAAGTGAAAGGAATATTCTTAGGAAGTGTTAGTGCTTTGTAGATATGAAGATTGCAACGTGGTATCAGGTATACTAATTCACACTTAGAAGTTCATCTTTTTACCCCTAAAACGTTGCCTAAATAAAATATATGAAAACTGAAGTTTTGCAGAGGGCATTTTTTTTTTTAACAGCCATGACTTTAAAGAAAACACACGAGTTGTGACTTTCATTACATTACAAACTGTAGTCGTGTGATAAACAGTCTCTCCTATGCTGAGGAAAAATAATGGTTTCCTTTGAAAAAGAAAAGCAGGAGGTGTAGGGGTAGAGGAAGAGGGATTATTGAGTAAGTTAATTAGAAACAGCCCAAGGGAAAAGTTAGGAAATTAAAACCCATAGAATCAGCATGACGGCAGCTAAAAATACATTGTCACAAGATATGCTGAGGCGGGGAGCGGCAGGGGAGCAAATGAAGAGTTTGATTAAACAGTAAGATTTTTCCTCAGGTATCTGGATTTCTGTGTTGCTGGTGACCCAGCCTCAGTAAAAGAGTGAAGTAATAACCTTACTTTGCAGATTCATGGTAACACACAGAATAAAGTTAATATAAAGTTAAATATCCAAAGTTAAAATTTGCTACATCAAAAGAAAACAAAGCATGGAGAAAGCAAATCTATGTGCGAGTGATAGCCAGCACAGGTTTTTCCACTAAATGCAGTGAATATTCAGGTACTAATGTGTGAGGAATTAAAAACTCAGGAAGGGGAAAAGGAAAAACTCATCTTAATAAATGGAAAGATAACATTTAATTTCAATATAAAGATTGAGAAGTGGCACCTTGTGTCATAGATGGCCGTAAAAAGCTAACGTTATCAGGCAGATTTCAGAGCTAGTGCTTAAGTTAAAGGTTTGCGGTTTTGAGAATCTGTGCATCTACTCTGCTGGTGCCAGTGCTTTTCTTGAATAGAGAAAATAATTAGATTTTATTAAATGGGGAAATATCAACTAAAATCATCCCTCTGTTTTTGACCTGAATTTTGAAAATATCTATGCAGTAGCAAATGTCTAAAATGGTATATCTGATGTGTCACATCAGACACAGCAACTTTAAGACTGTGCTGAATTTCGAAGTTAGAAGTTTGTTCCTTGATTTTTAAATCCTGTTGAAGCTCAGCTTGCTTCTACTGTTATTTATTTGTAGCTAACCTAAAATGAAACATAAAATACTGTAGCAGTAATGCTTTGTGTACTCGGCAGTGCCTTAGGTATATGTACGTATATATTTTACAACACAATCTAAAATACAGCATATTCTGTGACCTGGCGAGCCATTTTGTATATACTGAACTAAATGGTTTGCTTAAGTATCCAGTTCTGTGCTTTCTGCTTAAATAGTTTTTGTTGATTGCTTTTTTTATTTTTCTTTTACTGGATTAACTGTGTGAGTTCAATTTCCACGTCATAATACGTATTAAAAAATACAGATTTTCTTGAAGAGCTTTCCTATTGTATGTTATACCTTGCTATCATTAATTTTTATAAGTGCCTACAGTAATGCATCTCTTATGCATTAACATCGCACTGTCAGTGGCTAATAAAATATTTGTCATTGACACAGCTTGTTCTAGTTTTCTGTTTCAGTATTCAAAATTATTAGTTAATATTGGGGCAATGTTCAGATTTAATGGCTCCATTTCCTGTGAATTGAATTACACAGTCTATCCTGCATTTACAGTGTGGATTCCCTGTATACGAAAGCTAACAAATCAATATCTATTTTAAGTGATTAGAAGCAGAAGTTGCAGAAAAAGCTGTGCGTTTATTGGCATGAGATGTGTTTAGCAGAGTTCCTTTCATTTATATTTTTTCAGTAAACGAAAGTTTTCAATTCTGTGTTTTCCTCCATTTAAAGTGTTGCAGGTAGTGACTTACTAGGGCAGAAAGCATCACAAGGTGGGAGCTCATGTTTTCTTTGGTTGGTTCTACCACAGCTGCTTTGTGCAAAACCTGTATCCTCATGATAACATGATTTCTCCACCCATGAAATGAAAGAGGCTCGTTAGTAAAGATACTGGTTACTTTCCTCATTTTTCTAGTCTCATTCTTTCTTTTTTTTAAACTTAGAGCTAACAGTTCTTTTCATCTGTTGCTGTCCCAATATATGAATCAGTTGCCAACTGCACCAAACATTACACTATTGCATGTCATTGAGGTTACAGATAGAGGCAGAATCGTATGAAATTTATTTGTGCTGAAGGGAGACTACGTTGCAGATTCAGGTGGTCTACTTAAGCTCTTAAAAAGACCTTTAGGAAGAAGTAGTGATTAATCTTATTCAACTATAAAGCCACAGCCAAGACAGGCTGTTGCATACCTTAAGATGAAATTCATCAAAAGTAGTATATTAACATTAATTCAAATACCTGTTATCTTTTTCAGTAAACAGAATATTCTCGCTGTTTTTGTATGAGTTCTGTATGATTTGATGACCAATTAAAATGAGCACATTACAAAAATCTTAGGACCTCATCTGAATTCAAAGCTACTTATGAAATATTTAGAAGTACTTAGTGCTTTTAGGCAGATAGCTTTTTATGTCCCAAGAGGGGTAGTAAAACCATGTGTGGAAAACAGACAGGTCTTTATTTTTCTGTGTCCTAGGAAGGTGAGATGATCAAAAAAAGTATATATTAACCTTTCTCCAGTTAACCTAATGATGTTAATTCCTGTTAGTCTTGGAGGCTGTTAGTTAAGGGCACAGACACTATAGACCATTCTCTGACCACTTCCTTAAATCTGCTCATTTCCTTAAATCTGCTACTTCTGGATTGCCAGGTTTAACATATAATTTTTAAATACTAACTGCGTGGAAGTATATGAGGACCTGATATGAACCATATGGGAACATAACCTTACTTGTAGACGAAAAACTTGATTTTGTCACCACGGTTGCCTACAGTTGAATCACTCACAGTGCTTTACAGTAAACTGTGTATTTCAGCAAATACAAAGGATTCCTTCCTGAATTTGTAGATGTTGATCTGGTTTTTAATTTACTTAAACCTAGGAGCAGTAGCTATTTCTTTATGTATTTGTATCCTTCTGCAACACTTCTGATACTGCTGTAGCTACATGAACTTCTTATAGCCAATTAATGTAGGTCTATAGTGTGTAGCTAATTATGTAATATTTGGGTAATGAGTTGTGTAGGATTGACTAAATAGTTCAAGGTCTTCCCAATGTGCTTTTGTCTCTCAATTGTTTTACTTGCAATTAAAAAATCAATACTTATTTCAGGTAAACTGCTCCTTTCCTGAGATCATTTTTGGATTATTGTATGTCAGGACAGGGATGGTGCATAGTCTGAATGTAGTGCTCACAGTAAACCTTTTAAAATGATTCATGCAGCTTCTTGTTCTCTGTAGCCCCACTACATATGTTTTGGATGAAGATGAGCCTCGCTTCCTTGAAGAAGTTGATTACAGCGCAGAGAGTAATGATGACCAAGACATTGATGAGGCTACTAATCAAGAAGATGGACTTTCAGACTCGGAATCAACAAGGACAGCCCTTTCTTGAACCATCTTTGCAGCTAATAATAAGAAATTAAGCACCTTGGGTTTTTAGAGTCATACTGCCTCACTCTTGTCTATCAAGAGAATGGGCTTAAGGAGATGCACGCAACTGGGGCCTGGCTAGTTCAGGGACAATAAATATTTCTGATCTATGATAAATTGGCATTTGTTTTATTTAAGGAATTCTGCTCTTTCACTTAGCACTGAATAAACAAATTTCTTTACCAGTTCATTTTCTACTAAACAGCATTGCATGGCATTTTGTGTCCTTAAACTCTATCATCAACAAACTGATTATAATTTGTGGTGTGTCAGAGTGCAAAAGCTAATTCTTTGTGGTACAGTTCTTTTGAGTTGCTTCCTGGAAAATATTTATGTACAGATTTTTTTTTTTTTTAAATTAATATGTGTGTGTGTGTATGTATATGCGTGTGTCTTTACTGAGGTGAAGAGGTTATTTTTCGAAATTATGTTAAAGATATTTGATTGTGTTTGGAAATAATGTAGTGCCTGCTCTGAAACCATTTAACAATTACTAAATTAAAAATGAGAAAGTGGTGTATGAATTGCTGCAGTTGTTTCTTACTTCTCTGAGGGTTATAGGGTTTTACGACCGTATTCAGTGAGAATTGTTAATATCTGTTCACAGTTCAGGAGTTCTGCGCAGACCAGCACCAGCCTAAGCTTAAAAGAATTATGCATTTGTATAAAAGCTCTTCCATATAATATAGCCATCTCTTGTGAGGGAATAATGTGTTACCTAAACCACAGTTTAATATGAACTTTTTTTTTAAGTGGATATGACTATAAGAAGTGGTTAGATAACATATGTTGTCTGTATGTTTAGCTACCCACTTGTTCTTTTTTTCTTGCCTAGCATGCACATAGTTAAAATGAGTTCAATTTACTTGGACCACATTACTTGTGCCACATTAACCGTATACCCGTTTTAAATGCTTTAGGAGGGAGGGTCTGTTTTGGTTTGAACATCTTTTTACCTCATCTGAAAGCAGTGTGGACATGGCTTTGAGCAGGAGCTAGGACTAGGTAACCTCCTAAGATCCCATCCAGCTTGAGTTATTCTGTGATTCTCTGTTCCCTGTGTTTAAAGTCAGAACTGTCATGGTGTGGGATTTCCCCTTTTTGTTGTCTTTTGTCATTACCAATTATTATTCCCCCTTGCCTCTGCTTACAATAAGATCTAATACAGAAGTGAAATTGCACCCCATTGTTTACAGAACTGACATGTTTTACTGTGGACAAGATATTTCCAAAATGATTTTTTTACTTGATGTGACCTAATTCTGGCATTCATTTTCTGTTGCATGTGCAAGGGCTGTAAAAGCATGAAGAATCATGCTTCTAAGTTACAGCGGGTTTTTAACTGATGAGAGATTTGTGTATGCTTACTGCTGCAAACGAAATGGTAGTTTTGGAGAGGAAGGTTGCCTTTGATAGAAAGATTAAAAAACAAAAGAATTAAGTATGTTAGTGATTCTCAATGGGGAGATGATCTTTCACTGGTTAACTTCTCGGTCAAATGCAGCATCTGGTTGATGATGCCTGATTGATGGACTTACATCTTGATTCTGAAATTGGGGGAGGATTTTTGACACCTCCCCCAATGATAGCCCTCAGTGACATGCTACTGTATTTTTGTTTAAAGGCTTAAATTTGTTAATCATGAACTGTGAGATGTGAGGATGTAACAGAACTACGTATGTTCTTTTTCCCTGTTTAAATCTCTCTAAAGTGGTCATTGTTTATGTTCTTTGAGCTACATTGAGTAAGAAAATTTATTTAGTACTCTGTTAAAGAAGAACCCTTTGCATGAAATCACAATCACAACACGTAGGTGCGGTGAGTTTTGGCAGTCTACCAAAACCAGGGATTAACCTTGCCACAGAATTTTAAAAACTTGTAAATCAGCCCAGTGAGAGCCGTACAGAATGCTCGTGTTGCTGTGTCAATGTTATACCAGTTCTCTGCATAAATAGATCTTCACCCTTAAGATTTCTGACTTCAATACCTTCTATAACTAATATTCACTTAAGTTTTGGGGAGTATGGGATTCCAGGTATTAAAGTTGACATTATTATGCATTTCTCCTCAGTTTTCATACAAATCTGTATGAACCCTGGAACATTTTTATCATATTACAGGCGAGACTAGGAATCTACTACATAGAATTGGAAAGAATTCTGTTTTAGTAGTGCAAAATCACCTTCAGTGTTCATCCTATGTGAAAATGCATATGTGTTTTTTCACATCTTCCAGAGCTTTTAGTCTGTGCAAAAGAGGTTTTACAAATGACTTAGATAACCACTCAGGATAATAGCCACATTCCTTAAATAATAATGTTGTATTTATACATTAGATTGCTATTTCCAGCTGGAAATTATGGGCCTCATCTTCTAAGAGTGCAGTTCAGATGCAGAGGTGAAACTTTATCCTTACCTTGCACACTGTTGAAAATACAAAGGCCACATCTTGTCTATATTTTACTGTGGTTTGTATCTAGGTGCAATATTCTAAAAGACCAAATCTCAGTTTATACTCACAGGCACACAGGCTCGTGGGAAGACCTGCCGCAGCCGTAGCTGTTTCAGACTGCTTACGGCTCTACTAAACGTTAGCACCCTTGCAGCAGTGTTAGCAGACAAATGCGTTATGTCCTGCCTTATCTGTTTTGGTAGGTTGTCTGGTGGTTTAGCTGAAACTGGAATAGCTGAAACACATATTTCGCTCTGTTACTGGGGCATTTATTCCTAATAAATGGGCAGAATGTATAGCAAAGAATGACAGCTTCTTTAACTGGCATAACTCAGTTGTCTAGCATTGCCTGACCCAGGCAATTTACTGTCATTATTTTACACATTGGTGTTTCTTCAGTGTGTTTCTGATTTTAAGTGAGGCATAACTGATTCTCCATAGAAAAAGAAGCTTTTCCTATATTTGGTTCAGTAATAACAAATAACATAGAAACATTAATAATTACATTTGTGTTACTTACTGTTCTGCTTCAAAATAATTGCTAGATGATGAATTCCTTTATTCCTGCTCCAGTTATAATTCAGATTGTAGCACAAATTTAGTATTTTGTCTTCACTGATAACATCCCTTGGTGTAATGTAACTTTCAGCTGAGATTGCAGTTTGCGCCAAAATCTTGTTTGGTGCTTTTTGGAGGTGGACCATTGCATCAGCCTGGTATATTAAGGAGAACGAATTTTAATCTCAAATAAGACTGCAATAGCAGTAAATGAAGTTCACAAAATGCAAAAATTACAGGTTTCCCTACACATTTTATTGGTTAGATTTTTTTTCCTAAGGATTTATCACCATAGCATTTACAGCTGTGTGCCAGTAAGAACTGGGGTGTGCTTAGCATTTTAAAAAGGAGGACATTATTTTTGTTCTCTATCAAATTAGAAGGTAGTGTACTGCAGGCTTATACTTTCCTTCGTACTTTAGTAGATTGAAAGATAATTCTTTTAAAAAGCTTAATATTTATCAATGCATCTAAAGCTTCTGAAGATTATGGATGAACCACAGTGGAGACCATTGCAGGGCACACAGAAGAAGAAATATTGGTGCAAGTCTTCCCTGCACAGGATTGTCTGATCTAAGGAAAAGCACAAGTTTATTCCTCAAAAATTTATGTCTTTGTAATTCAACTTGCATTTGAGGGCTAGCTCATTTTTACTTTTATGTTTTTGATATTTATGTTTTTGTGGTCCCAATTTTAACATTTTCATGGGAAAGTTTAAGATAGAAGCCCATCTTTTAACTGTATGGAGCTGTCTGAGGAAAGCAAGTGGTTACTAAAAATGAGTTATATGTCACTTTTGCAACCTCAGATACCATTTCCATAACCACATCTTCAATGTTAGTTTAAACTGAACAACGTCGTTTACAAGCTCTGTTGTCCGAGACCATCTTGGGGAACAGAAGACTGTGTGACTCTTAAATGGTCGAAGCATATCTTTATTTGATATTAATGCTTCTCTTACTGTTCAGGATATAAAGCATCTGAGATGTGACCTGGCATCTTGTTTGCTTAAATAAACACGTTGTAGATCACTTTGAAAGAAGTGCCTTGAAATGTGAAATGCTGAACAGCTTTGACAAGTGGTAAAGAATATATCATCTTAAATTGTAGATGACTTGGCTATTTTTAGTAATATTATATGCAGAATTTATGTTTAATTATCGTAAAGTAGTTCATAAACACAAAGCAACCCATTAATCCTTCTATTAGAAGAAAAAGCTAAAAGTGCAGTTATATTTTTATTGGTCTAGTCTACTTTACTGTAGACTTTTCACAGTCTAACAATAGTCTGCTATTGTTAGGTACTACCATTGTTAATTTAGCTTTTGAAGGAGTTCAAAAGGAATACTCTGTCCTGAATACTCTGAGAACCCTTCATGGGTTTAGTAGCAAAGGAAACTACACACCGGTAGGATTTGATCTTGGGACTCTTTTCCAAAGCCCAAGCTGCCCTATCTTATCTTTTGTCCTACTTGCTTCAGAAGAAAAGGGTCTATAGGCAGTTGTCATGTACTTAGAGAATAACTCACTCTGCTATTCAGTTAATTCTCCCCCACCCCCAGAAGAGCAAACGGAGTCCAAAAATGATCTGATAGTGTTGTACTCTTCATACAGCTTAACCTGCCTAAAGTCTCTCAATTTAAAGTAAATCGTGAGTTTATCAGAAAATTATGAGGTGCCCGGAAGGAGATGAGGAAATATTTCTATGCATGTTTAACCCTAGCACTTGAAACGGCTCAGGGCAACTACTGGTGTTCAGAGTCAAATTGCTTTGCACCGGGGTGGTCTTTCATCTGCCTTGATTGGTTGCAGACTGCTCTCCTTAGCGAGCCTCACTTAGCCTTTTAGGATTAAATTAGATGTATTATCTTCCCTGCCTGATTATTAAGTCAATATTAATGTCTGTCAGATGTCAGAGTTGCTTTGGTGCTCGCTCAGTTCCCAGAAGAAAACAGGAACACAAAAATATTTCCGCATAAGCGAGACATGAAACACAAATTAAGGAAGACAGAAATTTTCAATAGTCTGTGTCACAATTGCTTAATTGTAGCATATTTGCCTGAATTTTAGGAATGATAAAGGCGGTCCATCTGACTCCGAGATAAAATGGCTCATTCTGTGAGGGCAGACTGGATTGAGGGGTTTTGCACAAACTGTCAGCCAATAGTCTATGTTAAGACTTGGCTTTGCTCTGCATCCCACTTCAGTATAATGTAGTATGATGCACTACTAAATGGAAAGTCCTAAAGTGGATCAGATAGTATTTTGCAATGACATATTCTGATCCTCTTAAACACTTGCAAAGTTTGCAGGTTGTCTTGTCATCCTTGTGTTATAACTTGGGTGTAATCACAAAATGGAGCCACAAGTGCAATTTAATTCAAATATTCAATATGTTACTTTGTTCTTTTAAAGCATTGTTGTCTGGTTAACCAGTTGAGGTGAAGAAACTAACTAGAACCATTTCTCTCTTCCTTTTGGTTTGTGCTCACCACTGACGGAAGCTTTCTGTTGTTACTCACGTTGGGATTGATGGAAAACTCTCCTGTTACCAAAAACATATCTTGTGCATCTTCCACAATTAAAGAGGAGCCTCTAAAACATTTTCATTACCGTATCTTGTTATTCACTACACCACGTATTTTCTCTCCAAAGCCTCCGTGTCTAGGACAGAAATAGAGTGGATATTGTAAGAGTAGTTTTTCAGATGTACTTTACTGGAATGAGTGAATCCAGGAGGTTATTAAATATACAAATCCCTCTATGCTGGGCACTCTGACCCAGATTTCACAGAGGGAAGTAGGTCGGGTGCAGTGTTACTCAAGCACAGATGGCTCCCGGGAAGCCAACGCCAGGGAGGCAACAGGTCCCTCAGCCCTCTCCCCTGCGCTCTGCCGGGAGGAGCTGAAATAGTGTTACTTGCAGCAGAGCAAGGCTTCAGGTTAATACCATCCCTCTGCATTTGCCTCACAGAAATCAAAGATTTGTGGCCAGATTTTCCTCTGCGTCTAAGGTTTGCACAGCAAGGGGTGAGAGGTATGACAAATCAGGACTTACTGCTCTTACGGGCCACGTACGCTGGTATTTAAGAGCAACTGCCCTCACCTGCAGCTTACCCACCAGGGCTGGGCAGCCATCGGCGATGCTCCTGCCCTTCTTCTCCTCCAGAGTGATGAAAGAAGATGAACCTGGAAAAAAACCTCCTTCAAAGTCCACAGACTGGAGACATCCCTGTTGCTAGAGCAATTCTTGGCTGCCTGCAGCCCTCAGACCTGGAGCTCAGCTGCCAAGCCAGTGCAGCGAGGGAGCCAGCGTGGGGATGAGAAAGGTAACACCACACGCCGGCTGAGGGCTGCTGCGTGGCATCGCTGCTAGCTCGAGCCCTCAAGAAAGAAAACGCCAGCATGGAAACCCTAAGGGGAAAAAGCAGGGAGACAAAAGTGTCCCAAATGAGCTAAAATCATCACCTTAAAATCAAGAGCCACACATAAGATTATCACTGTTAAATTTAATGGTTTACCTCACAGGCGTTTATGTTCAGCCTTGCAGGTGCTAATGTGAATGGAATAATATTAATGGAACAATATAAGTGGAAAACCTGAACGTAACTTTAGAAGTATTTGTCAAATTTGGAAGTGGAAAGTGTGTCTGAGACCTGAGCCTTGTGTGTGGGAAGCCTTACGTGTTGATTGAGCTCTGGGGTTTGCAGGAAGAGATGTTGAAGCCAGCTGTGTGTCTGCTGGAGGCTGAGTAAGCCTCAGGAAATGTGCAAAAGCATTTGCTCACTCCCAAACTGAAAGGATCTGTATGCCTTTAAGTGCTAAGGATTTAAACAATGCCAAAACAGGAAGAGAAAAAGTTAAGGTATTGCAAGTTGAGGAGATGGCAAAGAGGTTTCAGATAATTTAAATGTGCCCCAAAACCACAACAACAACAACAAAACAAACTCTGTGACCATCCAGGTACAAGAAATTCACGATTATATCTGAAGTCATTAAATATCTGAATTTCTAAAATGCAGGTGCTGAAATTAACTCACTTTTAAAGTTAATTAAACTTTGATGCTGTCTGGATAGGAAAGAAATTTCTTCTGATTCACTGACAGAAGAAAGAGTACAGTTTCCTATAGAAAACCGCCAGCTGTTTCAAGGCTACAGGGCGTAACGCATAGGGCCCTGACCCGAGCCCCTTCTTGCTTCTTCTTTCTGGTGGTGACCTCTAATATTTCATTCCTGATGTAGGTCGAAGCTGTGGTAGAAATATAGAGTACCGTTTTCCAGCCCAACGTTTGTAAATTGGGAAGGGCAGCTATGCTATATTCATGCAAGGTTATAAAATATTGATTGCTGTAATAAAAGCTTATGATGACTGGTAGTACACTTAGAATGCACTACCAGATAGTATTACATATGTAAAAGATTCACATCCCCACATGATGCCAATTATTAGAATAATCCCTTGGGAAAGCCTGGAAAGAAGTGAAAAAGCATTCCATATGGCATTAAGCGGCACAGTGCATGTTTCAAGGCTGCAAGAATGTGCTAAGGCAAGCTGTATATTGTTTTTATGCTGAGTTCCTATGCTGCGTGCCTCCTAAATTTCATTATTTTCACTGTACACATCTGGCTGCAAGTTAATATGTTAGGAAGGGGGACACCAGATACACAGTAGAAGAGTGGTCGTCGTAGCCACAAAAGTGTTGGAGGAGGAAAGCAAATGTTGCCCTGTGTTTGCAACGCTGCGAGCGGGAACCGAAGGTCGCGTTTCTGTACAGCTTTTCCCTGGTGACTGCTCTTTCCGAACGGGTGCCTGTAAATGATGGGCCACTCCTCTGCCTAATGCAGTGGTGAAAGAGATGTCCTTCAATAGGCATCGAGCTATGAAATGCCGCCGGTAATCGTTAAAATAATGTTTTCCTGTACCTTCTTCCTCTGGTTTGTTTTAATTTATGGTGAGGGCTGCTGTTATCTCTTATGCATTGAATAGTCAGCGATTAACTTATGAACTAGGGGATTATACTAGGGGTACTAATATCGTAGAAAAAACATCTAGGGCTTTACTGTATACCAGCACAATATCCAGCTCAACGGTTTTCCTTCCTCACAGGCTGCAAAAGGCAGAGGACCTGTGCTCCTGGACCAGAGAAATGGTTTATAATCTGCCATGAGGCAATGCTGACCGCTCTAGAAGAGATATGAATGGCAGTTTGTTGGTTAATCTAACCAGAAAAAAATTTACTCCTAGCAACGACAGATTTTTTTAAAACCCTGTGGCACGAGATTTTTTCCCTTCACTAACAGACTGTACCAATTAAACATATGCAAGCGTAGCCATTTTCAATGCTGCTTAGTATCTTCACTTCAATGAAATGCTGTGGCAGTTTTCCACATGTAAAAGGTCTTGTGGTATGGCTTTTCTGTCCCAGTGAGCGTTCCCTGTTTCTTTGTGTGGGAGACCATAGATGTTCACAGTTCGCCTTAAGTATTGCTAGGCAAAAGTGGCTCTGGTCACAAATCAGTGTACGCCAAGGACTTGCATTAAGACTTAATAATAGTGGTGATGAACTATATTATGATTTTAGAATCAACAGAAAGAAATCGAAGCAGGCAAAATAATGGAAGAGCATGACAGAAGCACTTAGATAGCCCTAACACCACAGCTGCAGTACTGTCATGAAAAGAAAAGCCAGCTAATGGCCATTGAGTGGGTCCTTCCGTCCTTCCGTCCTTCCCTTCCTTCTGCACAAATGCATGGAAGTTCTGGGAGTTTCCAGCATGCCGGAAACCTGAAGGGTTTATTAAGACCTTGGAGGCAAAAAGTGGCATGACACTGTGCAGTAAATTTTCAAAAGAACTGATTTTAATTCCATTTTTAAATAACATCCATATGATGCACTTGCAAATTTGCAGAGACTTTACAGTACGGTTTTCAGGACAGGAGGCACCATTATGCCTCAGTTTTGTGTAAAACCGTTTTTAGCTGGTCACCAAGCAGTTCCTGTGTCAGCCCTGGCTGGGAGCAGTGTATGTAATTTGGCCCTGAATTAGTCTCTGAGGGATGTTAATTCCTTAGGTAACTTTTTCAGTGGTTAATTTGATGCTTGAAAAGGAAAAATACCTTTTCTTAGTGTTATTGTACCTAGCTGTTGATATCTAGTACTTGATCTCACTTTGGTTTTGCTTGTTTACACTGCAAAAATCTTTATAAGGAAGTCATCCTTCAATCTCGTTGTTGTTTAGGTAAGCAGGCTGTGCTTCTTCAGCCTGTGGTACGCTAAAGCGTAGTTCTGAACCTGAATTTGTCCTTATGGCTTTTTCTGAATGGTTCCTGTTTCACCAGTACATAGTTTATCTGCTTTGACTCTAGCCTCCTTGCCTGTGCTCTCCTTGCCTTCGCTCTCCAAAACTGTTGTCACCGTTCTGGAGCAATTCCTTAGTTTTCAGATTCCTGGCCTTAAATTTCTCTGCATGACAGTACATAGTCAAGTAAGCTAACCTTGCAGTTCACACTGTGGTCAGCAGGTAAGCACTCCCGTTTTGGAGAATATGCTATATTATGCTTCTTGCAAAAAGCAGAGGTTTATGTGCGGATTTCCAATTTAAATAAATCTAAAAAATCCACTGAGTGTTATAATTTTGCACTGAATTTTAAACAGGTGAATTTTAAAATGGAAAATTACAATCTACATTTGAGCAGATTGTGGAAGCAAGTGAAAAAGTAGACTCAGACCTATTTAAGTGTTTAACATCTATGAAAACTGTGGAGCGCTGATGCAGGGAAGAGAGTTAGTGCTGTGCAGCAAGAGAGCCTGATGCTGGTAGGACTCCTCTGTGTTGGATATTGAAGTTGCACGGCGTGTACAGCACAAATTGAAGGGGAAAAACAGAATAGCTGCGGTTGCTAGTGCTGGCCTGGAGACCGGTTCTGTTCCCACTGAGGGGAGCTGGCCAAATCTCTGACCCTGACGCCTCACCGCTCGCTGCGTGTGGTCATGAGCCCCACAACTTCTGAGCCCCCAGCCTGACACCACCGAAGCACCGAACGCTCCCTGGAACTGTTGGGAGCTGTTTCTGAATATATGGAGTGCAATGTAATGCTTCGTATTTCTAGTTAGGGCATCGATCATTTTTAGTTATTTTTTACCTTAAATTCTCAGAGCCAGAAGACCCAGCCAGGAAGTGGATGAAAAAATCCACTCTTTTACTAAAGAAGTTCTATAGACTTGAATTAATTCAGTATTTAGTAAGCACAAATATAGTGATGAGCATTACTAAATTTTAAAAAATCTATTTTTAAGAGTCCTGCAAGGAGCTTGATGATTTTTAATTGCAGAATGCTTTGGATAATGCGAAATTAATAAGGCAGGGGATCCCACCCTGAGCAACAAGGATGAAAGAAACATACTGAATAGTTGCTCATTTAAGGTACAAAACCTGTTTCATGCAGTGAATGAGGCACAGAGGCCAAAAAAATGTTCATACTTTAAGATTATATCAGAACGTATAAGCACTTGGAGGCTAGATTAAGTCTGTACAGGCAGCTTTGGAGTTTTTGAATGCAACTTTGTTGCTCCTTTAATGCAATTTTATATGGAGCATGCTATTAGGTCTTTCACTGACTCCAACATCTAGTAGATGCTATTTCAATCTCACAGTCTTCCAATGAGTCTGTCACCTGACGCGTGTTGTAAAAAGAACAAAAAATCTGACAAGAACTTTTTCGTCTCTGTATTAACATATGCAGAACACATGGATGTTTTGACAGGGCAACTGCAAAATATTGTTAGTTTACTTACATGGTAAAAAGGTGCAGACTTCCCTAAAATATCCCCATGCAAGAATTCCAACATCTGTTTTTATCTTGTCCTTATTTTCAAAGGAAAGTATGCAAAATAATTACATTTAAAGCCACCGAATATTTTTATACCAGGATAAAAAATAGTAACTTGCCAAAAGCTAACTCACCTCCGACTTTAAATCCCTCACTTGCTCTGAACACCAAATGCTTATATTTTAAAGGCTTTTTTATGGGCTGTTATTCATGCTCTTGTTTTCTCTTGGTGTCAAAGTAAAAAGGGATAAATGGTGTGTTTTCAGCTGTTGGGTCTTTCTCTCCGTGGAGCTTGGAGGACACACAGCTCCAAAAAACAGGAGGAGAACTGCATATTTAAAGTTTGTTCTTGTTGATGTTTGGCATAATAATCAACTTCATAAAAGGACGCTTGGCTCTCTTGGAATGTCACAAATAAGATCAAAGTTCATTCAGGATCAGACTAGCCTAGAAATGGACAGAAGAAAGAATTAAACTTAGTGTGTTCATAATATGAACACCCACAATGAAAACCTTATGTTCTACATATATTTCTCCTCCAGGAATTGCTAAAAATGTTAGAGAAATCACAGAAGATTTAAATATATATATCAAATATGTAATATTAGCTTTTCAGTAATTAAATGTCTAAAAACCGGTACTGGGATTATTGGTGCCTTTACAAAAACTGTGCTGTCCACAACTTTTCCTTGTTTTGTAGAAAACACATCCTGCTAAGGGTGTTCCGACTTGAAGCAAAATAAGCTTTTCTGATTCCACTGGCAAGGGACCTTTTCAAACTGTTTTAAAAAATAGTTCTTTCTTTGCTTAGGAGATCTTTTGAGATATAATGGATTATAATGTGAACTACCCTATATAAAGGGCAAGAATTGAAATGCTGCCATTTTTTTAAGTACTCAGACTGTTCTTCCTGGGATAGACATTCCCTTGAACAAGTACTGTCATTTAAAATATTAGATGTAGTATTCTCTTTATATTTAAAAAAAAAGAAAAGAAAAAGAAAGTACGTTCCCTGGTCGAACAATATTGATCGTGCTCTAGACGGGCTTTCGCCATGCCGAGCGAAATTCATTGCCT